AGGAATTAGTCCAAACGCAGCCACTTATAACACTCTAATTCATGGTTTGTGTTGTGTGGGTGATTGGGAGAAGGGTAAAAGTTATATTTATATTGATGATGGATCAAGGTCTGCGGCCTTGTGTGGTGACTTTTACTGTGGTCATAGATGAACTTTGCAAGAAAGGGAAATCGGACGAAGTAAATAGGTTGTTGGAATTGATGATTTAAAGAGGTGTGGATCCCGACGTTTATACTTACACCATTTTAATGAATGGTTATTGCTTGGCAGATAGAATTGGTGATGCAAGGTCGTTGTTTGATTCTATAACTAGAAAGGGATATAGACCTAATGTTGTTTGCTACAATACTTTAATCAATTGGTATTGCAAGAATAAAGAAGTCAAAGAAGCTCTTAGTCTTTATCGAGAGATGATTTCAAAAGGAATTAGGCCTGATGTGATTACATATAACACCTTATTAACTGGCATTTTTGGAAAAGCTAAGATAAAATATGCATGGAAATTAGTTGATGAGATGCAACTTAATGGTGTTGTGCCTAATTCTTTGACACATAGCATTTTCCTTGATGGACTTTGCAAGAATTGATGTATTTTGGAAGCAGTGGAAATGTTTAATACTGTAGTAAATAATAAGTCTGCATTTAGCCTTGAAAGCTTGAATTCCCTCATTGATGGATTATGTAAAACAGAGAGATTCGAAACTGCTTGGGAGCTATTTCAAAAATTCTCTCTATTCATGAAAACCTAGTGCCAGACGTTGTAACATATAGCATCTTGATCAATGGGCTTTGTAAAAATGGACAACTAGAAAAGGCAAATGAGTTGTTGTCACATATGGAGGAAAAATGTTGTGCTCCAAATGTATTCACATTTACTATGCTCATGTTCGGTTTCCTCAAGAATAATGAGTACCAAAAGTTCTTGAACTCCTTCATAAGATGGCGGAGAGAAATGTGAAGCTGACTGAATGTACAGTGTCCTTAGTCATGCAGTTACTGCTGAAGGATGGAAATTATTGTGAATATTTGAACCAGCTTCCTCAATTTCCAATCCAAAAGCCACTTTGAAGTTTTCATGAAAAAAAAATTATTCAGAGCAGAATCCCTATCAGAAGATCTTTATTTGACAGCATTTGAATATAAAACTGCAAAAGTTCATCCAGCTTTTCAAATGCTCTGTTTTTGTTATGATAAGAAAAGGTTTAGTATAAACCTTTGTCTGTTTGAAATATTTTGCTCATGATGTCTTCTGGCCCGGTGAATTCTTGGTGGAACTGCTTCAGCAATTTACTGGCCTGGACTGATTGTAGACCCTGAAAAATCGGTAAGGTTGTTGAGCTATTAAAAGTTTTACTGCAAAACTTCATTCATGCAGTCCGCTGTAGTTAAAAAATATGCTAATAATTTTTAGAAGTTCCGGTGTTGTTGTTCTTTACCATTTTGAAGAAAGGAAAAAAGTGAGAAATAGTATATGGCGTTCGCCATGGTTACTAAAGAATGATTTGTGGTTCTAGTGTTGTGACACTTTTCAAAATTTACCATTGATGGATACAATTGTTTGCAAATTTAACGTTTGTGGAAGCACATCGCCATAGTACTTTCGAGATCGAAACATGAAAAAAGATCAAAGTCTTTAGTGGGGCGTGTTTATGTACAAACGTTAAGTCTGTTATTCACATAGGAGCCATTATGCAGGTTCTGGAATCTGGGAGCAATGACCTTGTTCTTACTATCATCACTGGGCTGTTTGGATGGAATCAGTTTCAATGGAATTCCAGGAGCAGAGAATGCAGTATACGCATGTATTAGAAATTTGCTTGTAGAAATTAGAAGCCACCAGTTTATTTAAGCCGACACATTTTTTTTATTTTTTTTTCAAAAAAAATGATTTTCAATGGGATGTATACCGCCGTCAATATGTGCATATCCCAAATTATAATGTGGACCGTATGCACAACCTAGTGCTCATTTGTCCCTCCTAATTAAGATTTAAAAAAAAAAAAAAAAAAAACTATAATAAATTAATATGTAGTACTATAATAGTTGTTGTTGCAAGATTTACACAAACCAGAATGATTCAATTGACCTTGGTGGAATCAAAGCCAATGTGTGCGTGATTAAAAATAACTAACAATTATATATGAAAAATGCGTAAATGTAAAGAATACAATCAATTTTTAAAGTGGTTGGACAAGTTAGAATTTGAGCTTACGACCATTGTTTTTCTTATTGCGTTAAAGAGCATACAAGAATAAGAATAAAATGCTTAGAACAATTTGCTAGTCCTTCTCTCATCGTTGGAGATGGTTTATATACAAGTTTGTAAACAAAGAAAGAGATAAATTATCGGGATTGCAATCACATTTGAATTACAATTATGATATTCTTGTACTTGTGTGCTAAGATCGCACTATTACTACTGTTGATCTAATCTCTTCTGAAATATCCGGGATTTGAGCTTATCTGTGATTTGTCGACCAATTACTAGATTTGATTGTGATTAGCTTATGTTGGGTTGAGTTATAGCTCGATGAGTTTGTGCTGGGTCGGACAAGTGTTGAGTTGAACTGATTTTGGGTTAAACTATATACTTGCGGGTCTTTTTAACTTCTTCGAGCCTAATGGAAAAATCACACATAACAATAGTAAATATATGATGCAAAACTAGTAAGTAAAATAAAATTATTTTATAATTATTCAACGTTATAATTGGTTTGATAGTCTGACATGTTAATATCATATGAAAAATTTACATTCTTTGCAACTTTTGATGCGTATGGGAATGAAAATATAAGTTAAAGGGTACTAATTGATAGATTTTCGAAACTTCAGAGTTTGATATATGGAAGAGTTTGTAATTTTGAAAAACTTGAGGGTCAGACTAAGTTTGTCAACTGGTTCAAATCAATAAAATCCAGGAGTGTTCAAAAGAACCGATTAGAACCGGAACACGTGAGTCCCCAGGGTTTGGTTCCGGTTCCTACCTGGAACCGGCCATTAACGGGTAGGTTTCAGTTCCTATAGTTAGGAAGCGGAACCGGGAACCAAAACTAATATAAAATAAAATTAAAGAGTAGGACGTTAATAAAAAATTTTGTAGAAAAAATAACGTGAATACATTTATATTTATATTTCATAATATTTAAAGTAAGTTGGTTTGACTTTTGAGAATCAATCTTTACAAAGTAATGGAGTTTGTAATTTTAAATTTATAATTTGTAATTTTATTTTTGTTAATAAGTGTCAGGTGGGGGTGTATTTATAAGTTTTTAAGGGTTTTTTTTTGCTATTTTAAAAACTTTGGGGGGTCACGAATTTTACAGGGTACCCATAACCGGAATCGGAATCGTTGTTATAGGTTCTGGTTATGGGTACCTAGGAACCGGAATTGTCGGTTCTGATTCTGGTTCCATATTTTAAGAAACCGTCGGTTCCGATTCCGATTCCAGGTACCCTTCATTTTTTTAAGGATCCCTTTCCCATCCCCATCCCCATCCTCGCCCTATTAATTCTACATTAACATCAATTTTACATCCCAAGTTAATTTATGACATTTGTAACTCGTTTTAACTTATGATATATGTAGTCTTTAGTCTCGGATATTGATGTATTATGTAATTAGGTTAAATATATATATCTATAATATAAGATATATATATATCTATATATATATATTTTATGGACAGGGGAAAGGCGCTTCCCCTCCCGGGGACGGGATTAGAACTGTTTGTCCTGTTTTCCCATAATACCGGGAATCCCCACCCCGTACGGAGCAGGTCAAGACCATTGCCGTGCCTAGAGTTGTTGGATGATTGGCCCTCAAATCAATGTAACACATTCACATAAATTCTAAAAGTTAAAAACAATATCTAACACCACCAGCCCTCCGAAAAGCAGTAAACGGCATAGACTATCTTCATCACCCCAGCAGCCACCATGTGATTCTCAGTCACCGCCATGCAAAATTCAATATCACGTTTTTTTTTTTTTTTTTTTTTTTACTAATTTCTTGGTCTTCTTCTTTAAATCAGATTTTAACTTATATTTGTTCAGATTGTTGTTAGATTAAACATTAAATTTTAAAATATAAAAAACTTAAATAAATTAATCAAATAGTCCCCAATGTTTCTCTAAATTTATGGGTAATACAAAAAATGTTTTACTATCATGTCTACTACCTTGTATTTCTACTGATAGCTTTTCATTTTGCTTACAATTTACTTGTCTAGTATATAATATATCTCATGGGAATCGAAGAATATTTTCTGAAAACTAAATGGCCTCATATCTATCTGCTCTCTTTCTTTTTTCGATTATATATTTGCTTGATTCTCATACACAATTATATATTGCTTTAAATGATTCAAGGAACGCAATCTCTTTTCAATAATTCAATCTATTTAATTTTAATAAATCAGGTCTACATATCCAGAACCCAACCTGGACCGGAGTATAAAACTTCGGGTCTAACTAGGTCCGGGTCCATTCTTCACACATCCAGGCCAGGTCTGAACCTAGACAAAAACCAGCCCGGTTTCGACATCCCTAAACTGATCCATATAATACATAAATCAAGATATCCTCTCCAACTTTAAATTTCACAAGGGATTCATTCATTCAAAGTTTCAATAACATCATCAATCTTTTAAGTGCTCCTTTAATTTTAGAGTAATGCTAGATCCACAACTCAATCTCACAACTCCTAATGTAACAATTCATTATTGGTAATTCACAAATAGATAAACAAGACCATACAAGCAGGCAAGACCCATTTTCCGAAATTTATCCACATTCTTGTTTTCAGAAAGTTTACAAACCCGTCCAGATTATTAAAAAAAAAAAAAAAAAAACCTTTTAAATAAGAAGATATGTAATACTTTCTGAAGATAGTGGGTATCTATAAAATTAAACGATCACTTAGAGGGTTGTACAATAACCCTTTAGAGTTTGGTCATGGAGTGTCAAAAATGACATGCCAATAAAGGCAGAAATTGATTGTCCTAAATGAATTTTTATTAGAATGAAAGACTAGTGTCACCAATTTCAGTTCAGGGCATTCAACCATTAATTTCCTTCCATTAATTGAAAGGTGAGCATCGCCGACACAGCAAACTCTCCAAACAATTCTTTTCAAACAGATTAAAATGGAGATACCATTTCTGTAAGAAACATAAGAAAATACTAAGATTCTAATGATGAAAACAAAAATACCAAGGAGTCAACTTCCTCCCTACTTGGCTTGAGGGTGAGAAGCAATAAAATCAACGGCCAGGTTGATGCTACTGATCTTGTCTGCTTCGTTATCTGGGATCTCGAATCCAAATTCTTCTTCGAGTGCCATCACGACCTCCACAGTATCCAAACTGTCTAATCCAAGATCGTTCTGGAAATGGGCACTTGGTGTAACCTGCAAAAGAGAAACACCAGAATCCACTATGATTTCTCAAACAAGCGGCATGTACAATTCATGGAAGAGAAAACAGCTGTTTCATAAGGAAGTTCAAGGCTTTTCTGGCCAAGGAGAAAAAGAAACGGAAAAGTATCATGAGCACCACATGTCAAAACCCCGAAGTACGTGACCAGAAACCAAAAGAGTTATAATCGAACAAACAAAGGGAATAAGACAGTGGACATTAAGCCCTCTATTTGGCGGGCCACAATTCATCAAGCATACTTTCTCATAATCAAACTGGACAACCATATTGGAGCCCACTGTTAACAAAATTTGAAGAAATTAGTTCAATACAAAACAAATCATGAAGCAAATTTTCGTATTACATATAACAAACAGTGATATCCACATACTAAAAATAACATAAGATGGATATGAAGCATTAAAATTAAAAATGTTGTATGTCACATCCATTGAATAATTGATGCTATATGCTATCATATTGGGGTATAATCATTAACATTAGTAAAACATGAAGGCATGAAACTAAAATACTCCTCACCAAATTCATTCAGCAATAATTTTCAAGATCTTCTAATCATAAATGGTTCCAAATTTTGAACTTCAAAATCAAACACACCAACGATATGAAACAATAGCTTTCAGGGCAGTTACATTTTTTATTCCAAACATCAAAAGCACCACTTAAGTTGGGAATCAAGTCAATTAACATGACACGGAAGCAATTGACAAGTGCTTGCACTAAAACATACAAGCTAGAGCCACCTATGCAAGCAAATGAGCATCGATGATTAGAAAACATACATCCATGTGTTGCAAATGAGCAACTCAAGGAATTGTAAGCTTATTGATCAAGGATATTGGGAAATATGGTTTAAACTATGTTACAGACCTGCTTGCAGACTCACTTGGTCCAGATGACTACTGATTGTAGGTTTAGCAAAGCTTATAACAATTGATTGAGCTGAAGACATTATGAATATGCATCATCCCTTCCATGGAACTGTTACAAAATACTCGAAAGACTCCTAATGTCACAAAAGATCTAAAACAAATAAAATTTGATATAAAACTTCAGCGTTTAATGGAATATGCAAAAAAGATTTCAACGCTCAACATTATCTGCTATTATTCCAGTCAGACAAGAAATTATGCATTTATGTATTCTTCATGACAAACTGGGTGCATTTTCCTTTCACAGGATTCAGGTTTCACAGAGGCTTCCTCCCAGAGCTGACAACCTGTCTAATGTAAAACTTTAAATTAATGTTAGATAGCATGTCTTTTGTCCCTCCCTTGCAAATAATATGATTCTTTGGCAACAAAAGAGGGCAGCTTCCCCAAGAGTCAAGCGATTTCCCTACCTACCCAACCATTTCCATATGTTCGGTCAACTGAATAAACTTCTATGCTTATAATAAAACAACCAAAGATCTTATTTCTCCAAACCAAAACCAAACGATCTGTTTCACACTCTCCACTTACACATAATAGCAAATTCAGTTCTGACAGTACAAGAGGGTTTATGAAAACAACCATAGAGTAATGAAACATCAAAAGAAAATAAACAATGAGGTTCAGAAGGTCATGCAAGCCTCAGGTGATTATCTTTCTTCTCTACCAAAGAGGCACTGGGATACTCACAAGGAAGTTGCAACCTCAAACCCCATCAATATCCTTAACAAGGTTTTAAAAGCATTAAAAGTACAACATGCTCCCAGGATTTTGAGAAGTGGAGTGTCCACATCATGTCTTAACACAGTGAATTACTTGAAAAATTGATCTAAGCTACCTCAATGAGTCAGCATTTTAAAATCATTTCCATCAAAATAATTGAATCAATTAAGAAAAAACATTATCCCTCACATACTATTTTTTTTCTAAAATACAAATTACAAGTATTCAAGCTCTAATTTCTCATCCTCTATTTACCAGCCACAGAAAAGGGTCACAATAAGAACGTTTAAAGTACAACAAGCTTAAAAAAATCAACATATTTTCTTGAAAGAAAGAAATTTATTACAAAAGATTCAAACTTTTTCTCTCAAATATCCTAGTAACAGAACACTAAACTCCACAAAATCAAAATTCACCTAACAATTTAAGTCTTAAGTGACCAAACCAACCACCCCATTAGTTCTAAACTCGGAACAAGTGAACTGCAGAAGAAGCAAAAGCTCAAAATCACCTTAATAGCATCAATATTGCAGTTCATATCCTTTCATTTTCTCAGTACAAATACAAAAACATTACTGGTATGCTAAATATGGATAACATTAACAGAACCAAATCGTGCTAACATAAGTTCAAAAGAATGCTATTCTCACAACAATACACAGACTAAAAATCCAGCAAATCCTGTGACATAACAGCACCCCCACAAAACAAACAACACGTATATGGCATAAAGAAACATAACCACACACTCAACACAAAAATGTCGATATCGAAAACCTTCCAACTAACAAAAATTTCACCTTTGAAGTATCAATTTCCCGACTTCATAAGCAAATGCAATTAAACAGCAGTAATCGTATTTCAAAAAATCTACATTTTACCTTGTAACTAATCCAATAATGCTACCACTCTGCTTATAAATAATAAATGTTGAAATCTTGGCAGTAAAAAAATTCACTTAGAAGTATCAATTTCGAAAACTTCATAAGCAATAGTACTACTATTTGAAAATCTACATTTTACCTTTTAAGTAATCCAACAATGCTACCACTTCACTTGGAAGTATCAATTTCACAACTTGATAAGCAAATTCTATTTTTTTTTAATAATTTTTTTTTTATTTATTTTTGTTACCTTGGAAGGATCAACTTTCTGGAAGTTTTTAACAACGGAGAGGACGCGATCGGTGACTTCGGATTTGTCTAAGAAGGTGCCTCGGACCTCCTCGGAGAAACGGCGGCGTATGGCATTGAAGGAGAGGGAGAAGAGGTTGGTGGCGGTGGTGCTAGGGTTTCCAGGTACTGTGTTTACGTTCACTCTCAGGTACTTCAGCAAGGCACCTCTCGCCGCCATTTCGATTCTTGTTAAGACGAAGAAGAACCTTCTCGTGCTCTGTTTGAGAAACAGGGGTTTAGGCTTTTACGCTAACTCCCACGAGCGACTGAGAGAGATGGATGATATACAGTTTGTATGAAGCCAAAACGACGTCACCTTATACTGTTGGTACTTGGTTTTGGGAATTTCTTGGGGGACATAGAAAAATCTTAAAGATTGGGGGGGTTGAATAATAACCATAATTTTTAACTCGTTACAGTTTGGTTATATAATAACGAAACTTTCAATTTACTCCCCAAACTTGGTTATCTTCGTTTGAATTCCAATTGTGCAAGGGATATCTACTAAAATTTGGGATTTTCGTAACTCCTATATTTATTTTTGATAATAATTTACGGTAATACTATGATACAAGTAGATAAATGTTTGACTTCAAGGGTTTAATTACTTTTCCTTCTTTTTTAAAAAATAAAAAAAATGTAATAAATCGTAAATATCAATCTAATAAAGCTATCAATCAAGATGGGTTTTATTGATATTGATAAAGATTTCTATTGAATTTATGTAAATATGCATGCATAGGTGAAGTGCGAGGGCAATGATAGCAACTGGACTAGACAGTAGTTTTTTGTTAGATTAAGTAAAACTCTTCTTAGAAAATCAGTTTGTCAAGAGAGGGTGTAGAAACCATTTATAAACCACATGCCCAATCCTTTCCTTTCAACGTGGGATTCTTAACACCACCATGCTTCTGCATCCGACGTCCACAATCCACATCGGCCTCTTTACCCCCGTCTTCCCTTCCTTGGAGTAGCAAACGCGACACAACAAAGAATCCGATAGTTGAAAGGACTACCTAGAGAGAGTTCCATTCCATAGCACTTCCCATCGACAATACATAAGGATCAAAAAATCTTATTAATCATGCATGCTCATGAACACATTCAAACATATAAAAAAAAGAAAAAAAGAAAAAAAAAAAAGAAATTATGCAAAACAAGTTTATTTTTGTATTACAATTTAACAAAAAACAAAAAAAAGAAAAAAAAAAAAGAAATTATGCAAAACAAGTTTATTTTTGTATTACAATTTAACAAAAAACAATAAGAATTGTTTTTTTCTTTGCCATTTCCAATGAAATAGGAGCAAATGGGCTCCAAAAACAATTACAAATCTACAAAGGCAAGATTAAGATAAGATAAGCAATATATGTTGATTTCTTCTCCTAATTTACAAACAAAAGTGATACCTCCAAGCTTCCATCTCCCTAAAACAATGTACAAAATGAACAACAAATTGATTCAGTCAAGGTAAAAGAGAGTCACAATTTTCCTCAGATTTTTGGCCTCTTGACATGTTTCCATTAGCAGCTTGCTGTCATGGAAGGCGAAGCAAATGACTTGCTGTACATGTGAGATGATGTCCATATTGCACAGCCTGCAATGCACCGATATCCGGAAAAGAAACAATTAAACGAAACGGAAAAAGATTCTAATAACCATGGACCCATTTGATATAGAATTTGTTTTCAAAAATAATGGATAGAAAGATTCTTATGATACACGTTTGGATGAAATGAACTGGAATGTTTTCAGAAACAGTTTTCCGACACAATCCTAAAAGCTAGTGAAAAAATTGGAAAACGAGGTTTTCTCAGTTTTCTATAGCTTTTCATCTGAAAACAGTTTTTCCATATCATATCAAAAAAAGAAAAAAGAAAAAAAAAATCAGATTCTAAAAATGTTAAAATATAACTAAGATTTTCAAATTGTATTTTAATTTTAGAAAATTGTTTCCGGACCACAAATCAAAACAATCCTAAATTTATCTGCCTCTTAATCTAATCTAGCACAACAGTTCTATTTTTAAGCCTAGAAATCCTCTTTTCTCATTCACAATTTTCAGAGAGTTTTAATTTATAGACTACTGATGGCACTATAATTCTATAATTTTGGTTGACGTGAAACTTGTGGGATATAATTCCTATGCGAGTGACCCTAAGCAGGGCTCTGTCCCTTTAACCACTCAACCCGACCCTACAAAAGTATAAGAACTGGAACTCAAGCTTCTGTCTAATGGAGCTGACAGAGTGAGTTAATCAACTCAGTTCTGTTTGACGCCGTTAAAATGCAGAAGCAAACAAGGAGTGGTGGCAATACCGAACCCCTCTTAGAGCCCTGAACAAGGCAATAGCAATAAACAGGTTATTGATAGAAAGTATGAGTGTTATCGCTCTCTTCTTCTCTCCGGACAGTATGAGTGACCTGGAAGCAATGCACTCTCATGAGTGGCATCGGCTCTCTATTACTTTAGAGTTTCAACTTTCAAGCAAGCAACTGTACAAATTCTGGATGGAAGCATAATTATGCTCAAGAACAACACTATGGCACTAGAAAATCTAACCTCAAGATTTCTATACTAGATTGTGTCATGAAAAAAAGAAAAGAGTAATTTGGGGAAAAAAATAACTATCACAAACCTGCTTGCTTCTAATAGAGGAAGATGATCATTGTGAGGCTTCTCTATCACGGTCTTCACCTTCAAATTCCAAACACAAAAAAATAATCATGATAAAGCCAAGATCATGTCCGTTAAGGTGGTAATATATTCTATTTAAATTCACATATACCACTAAATAGTTGATCAAATGTGTGGCAAAATCTTATCACAAATAATTCATGTTTATAATACTTGAACTGCAAACAAGGAAAGGTGACTCACCACCAAAAAATTCCCCTGTAGTTATATGAGTATCATGTTCTTTAACGTGACTTTCACATAGACTTACTGAGACAAACAAATTAACTTCGACTCAAACAAAGGGGTGAGGTTTGCAGAGGTCTTAGGTTCCAACCTTGCAAAGCTGTATAATGCTTAAAAGAATTTCTACACATCTCTGTCATATCCATTGAAGTCGATCAAACGAAACTTGTTTTTCTAGTTGCAGAACCATCATTTTCACATGCATCACAGTCTAACAATGAAGATAAGGACATTGAATTTTTTGTGGAAGAAGAGATTATAGAGAAAAGCTAGTGATTAGAAACAAAGGAGATCAAAAAAGAGGAAGACAAGCATGTCGCCAAATGAGAAAAGTCAGAAAAACAAATGGTTCATGATTGATGTGCATGTTGCCCTCAAATAATTATTTCATCATATAGGACAAATTTCAGATTATAATGAAAAACATCGCCTAGTATCTGTCCTTGATCATAAAAAGAGGATTCATGCTAAGCAAACTTGAAACTTAAATGTTTGTGCAATTTCATGAGATTTTTAATACTTGATGTGATACTCAAAGATTAAGTTTCCTCTAACCAGTGTTGAATGATGGAAGCACCACAAAAGAATTTTGTCTACAATACTAAATAAGTCAATATTTTATTTAATACAGAGATTTGGTAATTTAATTGAGTCTTAGTTGGTTTTTTCAATCTTTATTTGGTTTTTAGTTGATTTAGGCTCAGTTTTAACATTAACAGAATCCAAATTCTCTCAACTTCAGGAAAGAATTTCAGTTGAAACTCTAACAAGCAAGTTCTAGATTCTCTTCTCTACACTTCTGAATTATGAAATCATTAATTTGCAAAGCCACCCTGCATGACAAACTTACTTTTGACAATAATTCCTGGCTCTCAGGTGGTTGTTTCTTTAAGCTTTGAGGCAAAATGACTGTAAGCAACTCTGGTTTCTCCGCTCTTAAAGCACCTCTGATAACAGCTGCATTAGTCCCTGATGCACCTGACGTATAAATATGATTTTTCTGCAAGAAAATGTTATGCAGCAAGTTCAGGAATATTGAAATCATGAACAAAAATTGCAAGAAAATAATGAAGCCCAAAAACTTGGAGAAAACATGATGAGCTCTACAACTACAAACCGGGCCACAAAAAATTTACAGGAGAGAAGATATAGTGTCTTACAGTTATAACCAAAGCATAACTAAGAATCTCAATAAGTTCTTGATGCATGAACCCCATATTCCTAGTCCCAAAAAAGCCAATAGCTCTAGGCCCTTGTTGTTGAATGGCCAACAACTCCTGCATTTAAAAAAAAAAAAAAGAAAAAAAATTATAAGTATTATGAGAGATTACACTCTGGCTTAGCAATGGAATTTTTATTTATTTTTGGATATATCACAAACCTGCAGATAATCTACATCAGGAGCAGGTTTAAACTCTGACACCATAACTGCCCCTGATCCTTCCACAACCGATTGGGCTTGGGTGGGAATCTGTGTGCCACCATCTTCATCAGAACCAAAGAAGCCGACTACATTCTCCCCTTCATCTCTCCAACCATCCATGTCTTGAACTCTTTTCATATGTCCACAAAGCCACTAAACCAGCACATAAAAACACAGGCCCTGGTAGTAAATCATTAGTGAAAACCAACTGCACATAAAGTGTAACACCCACAGAGAGGGAGAGAGAGAAAGGGCTTGAAATCTAACAAGCTCAAGCTAATGGGTGCTTTTCATAACTTAAAAGAAGTATAGCTCATGCGCACTTAGAAACAAGTTGAATATTAAGTGTACATATCCATATTTTAGAATCATCACACTTCAACACTTAGTAAGCTTACAGGAAGCAAGAATCCATGCAATAGGCCTATGAAGCAATACAATGATTAAAGATGTACAGAAATAGTATGATACTAACTGATGGGACTTGGATAATGAGGGTGTAGGAAAAGTGAAATAACATAGCAAGCAGTGGATTGAGGGGATGTTGGCAGTAAACTTCCATGGGCTTAGGCTAGGACAGGTGGCGATTGGGGGTTGGGACAGCAAAAGAATTCAGTTAGGGAGAGAGAGAGAGAGCTGGAAGATAAAAAGAGAGGGAGAGAGCAGATTAGGGACAGGAGAATATAGGGAAATTTGGGAGGAGCTAACCCTTGAAGTTAGCAATTAGGGAGGAGCTGGCCCTCGAAGTCTAGCATTGTTTTTCCTTTCATATTTTGATTTTGTCCTTTTGGGTTGATGTGCTGGGTATATTTTGTTGTTTGCTACCATTGTTATCAATTTGTTGAATATCAATACAAATCTATTTTCTTCCTATTTCTTGGCTGTTATTATTTTACTGTTTTGTTGAGTTTTGGGAGTGGGTTCTCATCAGTAACTCAAAGAAATCCTTAGATTCCAACGACTCTAGTACCTAGATGCGTAATCCAAACAATTGAAGATGCTCAGAAAATAAACATGAAAAACTGTAAGAGTGATATACATGCATAATTAATGACCATATTTGAAGAGTGCCAACAAGTAAATAGATTACATCAACGGAGTTGTAATCAATTTCATAAGCCACAAACGTCATCAAAGAATCAAATAAGCCCACTATATTGCCAAAACCTCTACTCTTCTACTTTTAGTTATTATTTTCCAAAAGATAAATACAAAAGAGGTACAATCTGTCAAGCCAATGCCTACTAACCCCAACCTACCAAAATTTGCAACAAAACTAATAAGAAGTTCCTATGTATTTTAAGAAACTAGAAGTACATATATACCTTTCAAAGCAATTAATGCATTAATAAACCTTGTGTAATAAAGAGTGAACTACAATTGTTAGTCGACTCAATAAATGCAATAAATTAAAAAATTATTGTTAGCTAGGCATATACACAAGCATCAAGAGATATTATATGCTTTAATTCAAAATAAAAACATGAACATGCAACTAAATAACAAACACTTCCACATTTCACCAATGAAGCATTAGACTCAGAAGAGTGTTCATTCCAAAAGCTAGATATCAAGAGACTTGATTAAATTGTGCAAGCATGGTTACACTCAAAACAAAAAATAAACATGAAACGAAACTTAGTAACAGAAGTTTCAAAAAATGCACCCATAAGAGCCTTTTCTTTCCAAAAGCCACATATTAACAATCTTCATTAAATCATGCATGTAAGTTGTACACTTAAATTCAAAAATATAAACATACACATGCAATTCAATAATAAAATTTTCTATATTTCAGCATTAAACTAATGATCGAGAAACAAATATTCACTGCAAAAGCTATTGTGCAAGTGGACAGACTTAAAACTCAAATATAAAAATTAATAAGCCATTAAGTTTCAACATTTCAGCAATAAACAGAGACCCCAGATGAGGTTATTTGGTCCAAAAGCCATTCTGCAAGTGCGTGTACACTCAATATTCAAAATATAAACATGAACAAGCAATTTAATAACAAAAGTTTCGACATTTTGGCAATAGAATATACACCCAGAAGAGCAAATTCATCTCAAAAGCCATTCTGGCCATGGATTTAATCTTAAACTCAAATTACAAACATGAATCACCAAATTAGAATAAAAGTTCTAACACTTCAGCAATTAAATTCAATTCAAAATTTATTCTGTGAGAGAGTTTTATCATTAAAATTTCAAAACACAAACATGAATAATCAATTCAAAACATAAAAAATTCAAGATTTCAGCAATTACACAACAAAAGTCCCAATATATCACCAATAGAACAGAGATCCGAAGAGCAAATTCACCCCAAAAGCTATTCTGCAAGTGGGTTTATATTTAAAATTCAAAACACAAACATGAAAAACCAATTGAAAGATAAAAAAAAAGCTTCAACATTTCAGCAACACAACAAAAGTTCCAACAATTCAGCAATAACAAAACAAAAGCTCCAACTTTTCAGCAATAATAAAACAAAAGCTCCAACTTTTCAGCAATAACAAAACAAAAGTTTCGAAATTTCAGCAATAGAACAGAGACCCAGAAGAGAATATTTCATCCAAAGGCTATTCTGCTGGTGGGCTTACGCTCAAATTCAAAACACAAACACCAAAAACCAATTCAAAACTTTTGTTGAGATAACAAAAACACCCAAAAAAAATCCAACATTTGAGCAATGAAACGGAGACCCAGAAGATCAAATTGGTTCCAAAATCAATCTCGCACGTGGGTTTACACTTAAAAACCAAACAAAAACATGAATAACCAATTCAAAAGCAAAAAGTTTCAACATTTCAACAACAGTTCAACATTTCAGCAATTGAGAAGAGACCCAGAAGAGCAAATTGAATCCAAAACCAATCATTCAAGTGGGTTTACTCTTAACTTCAAAACAAAAACCCAAAAAACCAACAAAAATTTCAACATTTCAGCAATTACACAACAAAAGCACCAGATTTTCAGCAACAAAACAGAGACCCAGAAGAGCAAAGGGAATCCAAAACCAATCATACAAGTGGGTCTACACTTAACTTCAAAACCAAAAACCCCAAAAGCCAAATTAAAATCTCAACATTCCACAAAAACAACCAAAAAGTTCCAACACTTGAGCAATAAAACAGAGACCCGCAAAAGCAAATTAAATCCAAAGTCAATCATGCAAATCGGTCCACACTTAAATTCAGAACACAAGCACGAAAAACCATATTAAAATCTCAACATTTCAACAAAAACACCCAAAAAGTTCCAACATTTAACCAAAAGAACAGACACCCGGAAGAGCAAACTGAATCGAAATTCAATCATGAACTTGTTTTACACTTAAAATTCATGAATAAAAAATTCAAAAGCAAAAAGTTTCAACATTTCAGCAATAAGACAACAAAAGTTCCAAACATTTGAGCCAAAAAAAAAAAAAAAAAAAAAAAAAATAGAACACCGACCCAGAAGAGCAAATTGAATCCAAATTCAATCATACAACTGGGTTTACAATTAAAATTCACGAATAACAAATTCAAAAGCAAAAAGTTTCAACATTTCCACAAAAACAACCATAAAGTTCCAACATTTAAGCAACAACAAAAAGACCCAAAAGAGCAAATAGAATCCAAAACCAATTCAGCAAGTGGGTTTACCGTTTTGTTGGAGGCCCTCCTGGCAGAACATGAATAATAATGAAAATGGTTAAACACAGCAGAGGAAGAAGGTGAAAAACAGAAATTAGGGTTTGGAGATTTGAGGGATTTGGAGGGAAAATCAGAAGAAGAATAAAAAGAAGTGGTGGCTGCTGAAGTGGTGGAGTTAGTTAATGTTAAAGGCAACAACAAAAGCCTCGTTGGTAAGGCTGCACTCATTGCTTTGCCTCAAACAATTTACAATAACAACACTGCAATTGATTTTGATTTGATTTGATATGATAATTTATTTTTCTCTCTCTCTCTCTCTCTCTTTTTCTCTGAGAGCCTATCTATCTAACTTCTGTTTTCTTTGCTTTTGCTTTCTTTGTGTTCTTGTTTTTGCTTTTGTAAGAAGCGCTTTTGGCAAAAGTTTTTTTTTTGGGAAGAAAAGGGTTTTCACTTTTTATATATATATTTGTACTCTTTTGGTATTTATTGACTCTATTTGTGTAAAAAAAAAAAAAAACCCTTATATGATGGATTTAAAAATTAAAATATAATTAAAAACTAAAAATAAAATCTAAAAGTTTGAGAAGTATCACATTCTTTTTAATATTTGAAAACTTGTTTGGTATAAACTAATATAGTTAGAAAAATGTAAAATTATTTTTTAGTCTTAAATATAAAAAACGGGTTTATAGTTTTGAGCTTTTTCCTATAGACATAAAATAGATTTTTTAAAATCCTATAAACACTTTTAAAATGTATTTATAGATGAAAAATTGTGAATTAATATAATATGTAAAAATTATTTTCATAATTAAAGAGTTAACTTATTCAAACACACACATAGAGCTGGGTATTTGGGACCGGGCCCAAAAGCTCAGCTCCAAAAACCGGTCCTAGGACCGATCCTTGGGAGGACCGGTCCTAGGAGGCCTGGTCCCAAAACGGGACCAGGCCTTAGGAGGAGGGCCCTGGCCCTCCACTGGGCCCTCCTCCAAGGCCCGGGCCTGGGACCGGTCCCAGGCCTGGGCCCAAAAAAATTTATATTTTTTCAATGTAGTCCCTGCCCAATTACATAAAATCCCCTGTTAATTTTAAATAGATATAAATTACGAGGGCTAAAATAAAATTTTACAAAATTTATTAAAAAAAAAATCTTCCAGGTCTAAAAAATTTATAAAATTTACAAATTTTACCCCTAAAAAATACTAAAAACCCCGAATAAAATTTTGTTTTACACCAAAACATAAAAAAATTGAGGGGGGAAAATGAAATTGTCCAAGGCCCATGGGACCAGTCCCGACCAGGCCTAAGGCCTGGTCCAGGTCCTGGTTTTTCTCATGGGCCTGGGACCGGTCCCAAGCCCATGAGTGACTGGTCCCATTTGGGACCAGTCCCAAACGGGCCCAGTCCCTTGCCCAGCTCTACACACACACACACACACACACACACACACACACACACACACACACACACATATATATATATATATTGAATTTCTTAGTTTTTTCTTTTTCATAAACAACTTACCATGTCTTAATTCTCAAACAAATGTGGCATAATTTATTGATTTATTATTAAAAAAAAAAAATCATATGTCCTCTCAACGGATGAAAGTTATTCTAAAGTATAACAAGTTTATATTCCTGAAGAGCTCACATCAACTTGAAGGTTTGGCACCTCAAAGTTGGCTGTTTGTCACTTTGGAGCATAATATGTTTTAAGGGTTGGGATGTTCGTCCATTAAAGGGTTGGTTGTCAAGTAATATAAGGTTTTAGTAATATTTCAAAATCAATAATAATTACTGTTGATTATGTGGTAATCTAAATCATGGTTATTAGTATCCTACGATATCCGATACGTATTCTACGATATCCGATACGTATCATACGATACGATTCGATACAGGTCGCCAACGATACGTATCAGAAAGTGTATCATAAACCTTTTGATACATCGATATGTATCTTACGATACGTATTCGTTCTTATCCTTAAAAATGTCGATACAAATCGATACGACTTTAAAAAAAAAATCGGGTCGAAACCGAGTCACCCAACTCAGTTCACTAAAACCTACACAAATTTACCCATTTTACATGGAGAAAGTGAAGAAAAACATGTGTTGCCAATTTTGCATGATAATAATAATACAAGTAGAGATATAAATATTGATATTAATCTTAAAAATGATATGAAAAGTTGAAAGAAAATTATATAGATTCTTAATTTTGTGATTAGTTTTGATTATGTAATACCATAATTTAAAGTCAATAATACAACAAAATTCTTTAATTAATCTTGGGACGGTATTAATTTTTAGAAAATTTTGATTATTTTATTAATTTTTTTGAAAAATACATATCCTACGATACGATACAATACGCGATTAAAAAAATTAGGTTTTCGATACACGATACGATACGCAATTTGACAACCATGATCTAAATACTTTTATTTTCTTAAGTATTTTAAGATCACTAAGTAATCTTAATTTTATGACAATTTTACCCATGGTTATTAGAGTCCTACGATACGATACGATTCGATACAGGTTATCAACGATACGTATCAGAGAGTGTATTCTAAATCTTTCAATACGTTGATATGTATCCTATGATACGATACGTATTCGTTCGTATCCTAAAAAATATTGATACAAATCAGTACGACTTTATTAACCTAGGCCAAAGGCCCACAAAAATTTCGGGTCGAAATTGAGTCACCCAACCCCGTTCACTAAAACCTGTCTAAATTTATCCATTTTTGCATGGAGAAAGTGAAGAGGAACATGTGTTGCCCATTTTGCATGATAATAATAATACAAGTAGAAATATAGACATTGACATTGACATTGATCTTGAAAATGATATGAAAAGTTGAGAGAAAATTATATAGATTCTTAATTTTGTGATTAGTTTTGATTATGTAATACCATAATTTAAAGCCAATAATACAACAAAATTCTTTAAATAATCTTGGGACGATATTAATTTTTAGAAAATTTTGATTATTTTATTAATTTTTTTGAAAAATACGTATTCTACGATACGATACAATACGCGATACATGATTAAAAAAATTAGGTACGATACGCGATTTGACAACCATGATTTTACCTTTAACTATTAAAATTTTTGGGCAATAATGCCCTTATTTTGAAATTAATTTACATGAACATGTTATTACAATTTTACCTTTAATAAATTAAATTTTTGGACAATAATACTTTTATATTTAAAATAAATTGCAAACCACCTACGACTACCACCACTCGCCAGCCACCACCATCGGCTACCATTGGCTAACGTTAATAAAAAGGTGCATGATCAACTAAATATGTCTGATCGTATGCTGATATGGCCATTTTTGGCCAGATTGATGATTGGAACAGCCAGATGACCGTAAATCTGGCCATTTTCGGCCAGACTGATGATTAAAACAGTCAGATAGCCGTAAATCTGGCAATTTTTGATCTGATTCATGTCGCACGATATCGTAATAGATCTAACCGTTAACGGTCATATCCATTTATCAAAAGTCAAGTGGAAGTACACTGATACCTCTCCTGTCATTTTATTAAAAAAAAAAAAGGACAAAAAAAAAAAAAATTCTTAAAATTAAACCTAGCCCGTCTTTTACTCCATCTTAATTAAAGGATTAGATTATTAATATATATAAGATTTTTAACTTAAATTTATGATCCTAATTTATGATCATAAATTATAATTTTCTGAATTAGAAGTTAATGAAAAAAAAATAACTACTGACTTTTGTAGACGTAAAAATCTACCTGTACGGAAGGGGGGTCTGATCCCGTGAGGATGAGGTCACTAGCGATCTGCTATACCTACACACATAGAGAAACACACACATGAAGCGAACAGGAAACATCGGGATGGTGTTTGCCATAGGCACTCCGACGCTCAAGTCAGCAAGGCTGAGAGAGGCTAATATAGTGAGGGCAGGGGAGTAGAGATTACTGGAAGTCTAGTCGGGACTGTGACTACTGCAGTGATGTAAAGCTCTCGAGTAGGAGCTTCGGGTGTGAAGGTGTAATGTCATCTCCTTTGTGAGAGGGCTGGCCTCTACTTATATAGTGACTGTCTGGTCTCCCAATCCTGGTAAAAGTAGGAGTCCTAGCATGACTCTAATGCAAACCCTAGAAGAATTAGGGTCGTGATAAACTGTCTTACCAGTGTTCGGATAGGAAAGTGATTCTGATCAGAAAAGTGACTCCGAGTAGGAAAGTGATCAGGAATAGGAAGGTGGCCTTGAATGGGAGATTTATCAGGAGTAGGAAAGTATTCTAAGGGGGTCGTGGGCTCTAGATTCGCCCATGGACCTAGGAAATGGATTGGGATTAGGAGGCTCGTGCCCACGTGGTTTGGGTCGGCTATATCTTGTACCGAATGGGCCTAATCCGGTTGGGTCATATTGGGATTGGGCCTAGCTTTTTCTTCAGTGTCAAGCACGTTTGCCTATTTAGGCCAAGGACGATTTTTGGCCCTAACAGTTTGCCCCCTACTCTCTGATTTAAGAGTTTCTTAAGTTAGAGAGTAGGAAGCGATCGATGAGCACTCGGTCATTCTTCCGGGATGACCGGTTATTAGTGTAGCTGATCCTATAAGTGATTTTTGTTCCGGGGTCTTTCGGTATGAAGGACCGAAGGGTCAGAGAAGCAGGCTTCGGAGCGTAGGCCCTTCGTTCGGTATGCTCGATCACTCGGCATGCCTGGTCGAGTGCGGTAGAAAAGTTACTAATCTCAAAATGTTTGCTTGGTCGGTATGTGTGGACGATTCGAGTGGTTGAGATAGAACTTCGACCAGAAGTTGTTCATTCGTCCGCTTCGGAAGGACAAACGGGCGAGGCCTCTTTGTTATGAAGATGGCTCGAAACGGGCCGTTCCAAGCTGATCGGTTAGTCGGCCGGGCCCTCTAGGCCGAAGAAGCACGGGACATTTTGAGGGCCTTTAGGAGTCGAGTGCTAGGTCAGTCAGGAGGAGCGTGCGACCAAGTGGATGTTGCATGCGAGCACTGACATTGGTTGTCCACTCGTCCACCGCGAAAGGACAACTGGGCGAGAGCTCTGGCTGGATCGTCCCCAATCAATCGATCAGTCGGGGAGGCCTCCTGAACATGTGATTCGTGGGGGTATGTAGAGTCCACTGACCTGGGCGTGCTGACTCGGTTGGTAGATCTGGGCGATCGATTCAAGCTTCCCTGTCGTTGCGGTTTCCCAGGCGCTATGATGTTTGCCACGTGTTCGGCGAGGATCAGATCCTAGTTTTCGAGGCGGGAAAAAGAAAAGGCGCTCTGGCCCGAAGCCAACCGTGGGCTGCCACGTGTTTCAACCTATCAGTTTTTCTTTTAAAAATGATTGAACAGGCCGTTCGTCTCCCATTTTTGCAGTTTTCCTCCGTCTTTCTTCAGAAAAAGATTTTTTCTTCTACGTTCTTGGTTTTATTTTCGCGACGGCAGCTTCTTTCGGCAGACTCCGGCTTTTTGACGGTAAACACTCTTCTTTCATGGCGTCTTTTGTTTCTTTTGTGTTTGTTTTGGAAGAATAGAGTGAAGTTTTTAAGCTTTGGATATTTTTGACTTGTTCTGAGGAGTTTGGAGTATAGATTTTTAGAATAGGCATGAATTTTGGTATTTCCGGTGGGTTTTCGGCGTCTTGACTGGTTTTTTTGGGCCTTCGTCGGACGTTTTGGACGGTATTTGGGAAGGTGAAGTCGAGTTAGCCGTAAGTTCGTTCGGTCGGTCTGCCTGACCAAACAGGGTGCCATCTTGGTGTTATAGGGGAGTTCGGTCGTTCGGTCCATCTAACCGAGTGGGGAAAGGTGAGCGGAGCGTAGAGTCGGTCGGTCATCCAGACCGAACGGGTGATTTGAGTTGCTTGATCGGTGAGAAGGGGCAAATAGAATTTGAGTTAACCTTGGGGACCAGTCGATCGCCCAGGGCGAGCGAGTGGATACCTCGATCAGGGATTGGCGAGGTCGGTCACCCAGGGCGAGCCAAGAAAGGCAAGAATCCAGAGCCGGGTCGGTCTACCGGGAGGGTCGACCAAGGTTTAGGTTAAATTGTATCCGGGTAGGTGGACCGGTACTGAGGGGCGAGTGACAACTCTTTCTTACCTTGATAGGTCGGTGTCTCGGGTCGGGTGGTTGACACAGCATTTTTGACAGTAAGGAGCGAGGCTTGGGTCGATCTGTTGGGTTGCGCGATCAATCCAACATGTTGGATTCTGAATCGGCTAGTTCGAGCGGGATTGTGGCAGACCCAAGGGATGAGTACGAACGTGCCCCGACTATAGTGATGATGCCTGAGGGGGGCGTTCCGGTGGACGTGCCGACTGGAGTTAGTATAGCCGTTCCAGGGTCGAGTGAGGCTGGGCCGAGTGGCTCAGGCAGGCATGGGAGGAGTGGGGAAGACTTCGAAAGAGTTGATAGTCCATCTTCTTCCGGAAGTGGCTCTAAGGAAGAGCCGAGCCAACAAGGCAGCGGGATTTTGACTAGAGATTATTCGCCCGTGCTGAAAGATAGTGATGTGTGGTGCATCCGGACCTTGTATCACATTCCAAGTTTGGTTGATATCTGGATGCCGCGGTCATACAAGCGGGTTGATTGGGTGGCAAATGACTGGATCAGTGTTTATGAGAAGTGGTTTCATGACGAGTTGAGGTTGCCTGTGCCTTGCCTCGTCTGGGAGGTGCTGAACCACTTCAGATTGCCCCGTCTCAGCTTATGCTAAATGCTTGGAGACTGCTAATGGCTTTGGAAGACCTTTGTGTTCGGAACCAAGTGAGGTTTGGGCTGCACGAGCTGCTATACTTGTACTTCTTGAAGGAGAATGATAAAGAGAATGGTCGTTACTTGTTGAACTTGAGGCATGATCGGTCTCACTTGGTGACCGACCTACGGTCTAGTGATAAGAATTAGAAGGACCGATATTTCCACCTCAGGGGTCAAGCTGTATTTGGAGAGAGAGGACAGGGCGAGATCTCGATCGGCTAGCGAGCTACTGGTGAGAACTTAGTTGTTTCTTTCGTACTTTTGATTACTAAACCTTGATTGTGTTTTTTGTTTGCAGAGCTTGAGTTCAATCGGGCTGGGCAGAGCGGGGACGACTTGGATGTAACGACCCAGAGAGTGTTGGCCATCCCATTAGAGCAGAGGGATTGGCGAGTAGTGCTAGCAGAGTCCAACCTCAGGACCAGCATTCTTTGGGCCGGAGTAGAGGCGATATAGAGAGGTACTCCCTTCCCCTCGCTGAAGCAGACTTGGGATGTGCTTCTGAGTCGATACTGCAACCAATCATTTTTTGTGAGTCCGAGCTAAACCCACTAACCGTTGGAGAGTTTGCACTTGCAGAGTCACTCATGAAGAAGTTAACCGTCCTGAGCGCGAGCGAATCTACTGCCCGACGCCGCGAGAAGAGGAGGAGGGAGTCTTTAGCCAGGGAAGACAGAGGAGTAGAAGATGTGCTAGCGACGCCACCGAGTCAGCAGCCTGCAGCTGGAGCCGGGTCGTCCCAGACCGCGGTTGTGGATGAAGAGGCCGGAACGATTACCATCACGATTCCGGCTAATGCGTCGACTTACTCTGATGCGACTACCGTGAGTAAGTTGGCCGACTCATTTTTGTTCCCGGCGGACGAGGCGCGGCTTAACCAGATGGGTGCAGTTGCTGCGGCTGATTGGGGGGTAGCCTGCGCCGTTCAAGTATTAAAGTAGTGTTTGATGATTTTTGTTTTTGGATCTCGTTCTGATTGCAATGTTTTGTTGTGTAGGTACTCACTAGCAGTCTTCACCTGAGGAAGTCTGTCGTGGCGCAGGAGAAATGTATACAGGATTTGTCCAAGGCCAACACCAGCCTGCGCCAGAAGGAGATGGTTGCCCGGAAGGCCGAGCAAGAGTTTTAGCTTCGTCTGAGGGATAGTGAGCATGAGGTCGAGAGACTGAGGCATGAGTTGGCCGAGAGAACCGCAGAGGTCGAGTCTCTCAAGGAGCAGTGCATCTCCATTGCTGATGATGCTATCATTAAGGCCCGAGGTGAGCTCATGCTGGAGTTCAAGGAAGGACGGACCTCTCATTGGGATCTGGATGAAAACATCTTGCTTATGCAGGAGTTACTGGAAGAAGGGGATAGTCATCCGGGGGGGCAAGACGACGAGCAGATGCCTGACCTCAGCCAGCCAAGGCCATCGGGTGTTGATGATGCGGGCAGCCAGGCTGCTGGGCCGAGCGCTGGCAGCACGGACATGGTGACTGATTCGACGATGGAGGATGAAGCTCGTGCTGAAGATACTTTGCTTTTTTCTTTATTTATGTATTTTGGGGCCTGCGATGCCCTTTGGTCTGGCGTGTGTGCCATTTTTGTATTCTGAACTAGGCCGTTGATGTTATATATATAACATTTGACCATTTTGACTTCTGATGCTATCTCCTTGGATGAATAAACTATTGTTTCTTTACTTGTAGGTGCACTACGTCGTGTATGTTACTTTAGAGTGGCCCAGTGGCTAGGGCATGTAGGCCTTATGTTGGGCTGGGTTAGTGCTTCGCTTGTCAATGGTGTAAGGACCATTCATTCGGTCTGGTCGACCGAGTGTACCTTCCCTTGGATGAACGAAGTTAAACTTTAGTTCAGTTCTTGGGTTGAATCGGACCGACTGGGTGGTGTGGATCATAAATCGTGCTGAGTTTCGTAAACCGTGTGGGGCCAATACTAAGGTGTAACTCGCGAATCGAGTAGGGCCAATCGGGGATGTCATTGTGAATCGAACAGGGTCGATTCGGCAATGTAAGTACGTTTATCGGGTAGGGCCGATTTGAAGGCGTTAGTACGTTTATCGGCATGGCCGATTTGAAGGTGTCATCATGAATCGAGCAGGGTCTATTCATGATGACTTTTTTTTTTTTAAATCCATGGAATTGTAATAAATCACTATTAATAACTAATTGTCCAAATTAAGTAAAGAATTTATTATATTCTCACCCTTAACCTTAAATTAAATAAAATATGTTAAAACTTTACTCTTTATCAATTACCTTAATAATAATAATTTCCACATTGTTAGTATAAAAACTAGGAAAAAAAAAAAAAAAAATTAACATAATAATAAATAAATAAATAAATACCCCTTTTATTCTTTAAATACCCAAAACTTAACTCTCATAAATTTAACTTTGCTGACAAGCGAAAATGCTGACTTTGCTCTTTGCCTGTTTGGGTCTCCTTCTTCTCTTCACTCTTCTCTTCAAATTCGTCACTTCCGATGGTAACTTCAAAACCCCTTTGCATACAACTCAAACTCATTCATTTCCACATGGGTTTCTTTAATTTTTAACTTAAATTCATAAATTAAGCTCTTTCTGCTTCTTTCTTTCCTTTTTTTTTTTTTTTTTTTTTTTTTTCAGGTGATTTCACGTTGGTTTCAAAGAGACACGTAAAACAAGAAGAAATTGAAGACAAGGTATTTCGTTTATTCCTTCCTTTTCTTTTTATGGTTCTGAAAATCTTAGTTAATTATATCTATATATTTTCTGAAACTGTGGAAAACAGAGAAAATGAATTCATATTTTTTGGATTCTGATTTAAAACTGTTTCTGAAAACAGTTCACGCTTTTTTTTTCTTTTAATTTATTTTTTAGCATTGTAAGAAGTTCAAATGTTGAATGTATAAGATGTTAATTGATATTTATGAATAATGGTGTCTGTTGATTGGTCAGGTTATGTATGATATTTTCCCATTGTCTTAGAAAACAAAGAATTCTTTTTAAAATAAAATTCCATATGTTGAACGAGAAAAAACTTAATGGGCATTTTTTGATGCTTGTTGATTGTTCAGGTTGTTTGGATTACTGGGGCCAGCCGTGGAATCGGTATGAGGTTCCATTTCCTTTGTTTTTCTTCCTACTTATATAGATTGATTTTTGTTATATCTAAGCTTAGTATCTGTGTGAATTTGTTACTGATACTTCTATTTCTAATTTGAATGGAGTTAATTTGTTCATAACTTAAATTCCCTTACATTTGACTTGTATTAATACGTATCGACACTTGACCGGGCACATCTAAGTTTAATGTTCAAACTCTTTTTTCTTCTTAAATAAGAAGTTGCTTTAAAAATGGTAATTCTGACATGACACAGAAATTTTTAATCAAATCATGATTTGCGATCTTAATGATCGAATTGCTTATTGATAAGATTGTGACATTGTTATCATCATTGTTTTTGTTGTTGTGTCATTGTATTTAGTGTTATTACTATTCTCACTGTTAATGTTACTGTTTCAAAACTGGTTGGAAATTTGTTGTATTTAACATTCTTTGATATTAACAATGAAGGTATATTGCAAAAATTAGATTCTGCAGGAATTTATTGTCACCTAACTTGCTGGACTTTTTGGTGCTGTTTATACCTTTATACCTTTGACTAAAGAGTCCAAGTTCTGTCCTGGAAATGAAGAACACAGTTATTGAATATATCTCCAATAATCCTCGGAGACAAACGAAGCCATTCAGTTATTACTTGTAGTTTAGCACACCGTTTTATTACCAAAAAACATAATGAAACTTTGCTTAGTTGAATGACAGCAATGACATGTGATTCCAATAAAGCCTTAAATATACCAATACTTGTAAGATCACATGGATTCTTACGATTGTAGGACATTTGCTATGTAAGGCTTTTCATGCTGCAATATATGTAATCATTCTCTTTAGAAGCGTAAATATCTTTTTATTATTTTCATTTTTCAGCTCATTTTCTTCTGATATCAATGGAAACTCTTTTTAAATTTACATGGATTTTCCTTTTTATAACCAAAGGCAAAAATAGCAAATCAAAAACATTATTTTATAGCTCTGTCACATTTGTAGTTGGTGCTTAATTGCATCAAAAAGTTTGCGAGGTTGCAATCAACAACCAGCTTTCACTTTTTATATTATTGTATATTATCTCACTTCTTTTTCTTCTATGGCAAACTCCAGGTGAGGAACTTGTTAAACAATTGGCAAAATTAGGTGCCAAACTCATTCTTTCAGCACGGAATGAAGCTGAGTTGGAGCGAGTTAGGAAGCAGCTTACAGGTATATCCTTTCGCCAAAGGCTTGATCTTAGCATTTCAAATCCTTAAATTTATTTTTCACTCAGTTTTTCTTTTGTATTCTTTTCTTTTTCTAAGATTTGGTTGGCACGAGTGCAGGTAAGTATGCACCTAACGAAGTGGAGATTTTACCTTTGGATTTGGCATCTGGTGAAGATTCACTCAGGGTGGCTGTAGAAAAAGCAGAGTCCTTTTTTTCTGGTGCTGGTGTTGATTATATGATCCACAATGCAGCTTATGAACGCCCTGTAAGTGATTGATTCCTGATTTGGCATGGTGATATCTTACTAGCCATCTAGACGATCAAACAAAATCACAATAAGACAAACATGTATGCATGCATGCAACTAATCACATGTAGTCCTGTTAAAAATGATGGAATGCCATCTTGCACAATGCATGATCTTTTTTTTCTTTAAACCCATCTTCTTTTCTTTTGTTTTGGGCAGAAATCAACAGCTTTGGAAGTCTCTGAAGAAAGCCTCAAGGTATCTAGAAATGAATGTGAACATAATATTATATCAAAGACAATCACTTGCTAAAGTGAGGCAGTGAGTCTTATGCTTACCTATTTAAGCCACCAGTTCTGTCAGGACATTTACTCTGAATTTGTAACTTTCTATGTTTGTTTATCCTTATCACTTTTGAGTTGCCTTGTACGATTATCATGTTACCGCCTTGTTTGGAAATAGGCTACATTCAATGTCAATGTTTTGGGGACAATATCTCTGACACGGCTACTGGCACCCTTTATGCTGAAGCGGGGAAAGGGTCATTTTGTTGTGGTACGTGGAAGTACATAATTGCTACTTATGCTAAACTTAATATAGAAATTTTCTCTCTTGGAGCCAAATTATTATTTTCTAAGTTTATTGGGTGGATATGTATACTATATTTGTGGGGTGTGCACCATTGTCTTATGCAGCTGGACATGGTAATCAACTGAGACAACTTTTTGATGGACTTTGACATGATGAAAGTCACTAACTGGATAAATTACATTACTTATCTGTGATAAGTCATTAGAAGATTGGTTTCGCTAAACACAACTGCTGTCCATCAGGTGCTTGCAGTTGATTGTCATGGGGTGCTAACTGATAGGAGCGTGCTTTTATTTTAGAGAGCTGAATCTTGGTTATTTTCTTTTATTCTCTTTTCTGTAAATGAGTACTCTTGTTATACGGTTACACATTATATGCAGATGAGCAGTGCTGCAGGAAAGACACCTGCACCAGGTCAGGCTGTGTACTCTGCTTCTAAACATGCTCTGAATGGGTACTTTCACACATTGCGTTCTGAGGTATATATCTGATTTCTATTATGAGGCAAAAAGAATATGAAGTCTTGTTATTAATTGCTTCCCTGTCCATTTTATGACTTGAATATGTAGAAGAAGTTACCAAATGCTAGAAATAAGATCTCTTTCAATTTTGAGTTAACTGGGATGATATCTTCGGAGATTTTTCTTCATTGACCTTTAGTGGATTCAACCTGCCAGACTTGTTGGGAGGTGGAACTTTTATTATCTAAGTTAAGTGATTTAAATTCTGAAAGCAGAGTGTCATGACATAGTGTCGACCTGGTCTTCCCTTTCCAACTTGTTCTCCTCTGAGAATTTCACTATTTACAGACTACCGTGAATATTTGTAGGAGGAGTTTCATGTGGACTTCTTGCATGGTTATCAACATATCTGTTTGTGAAAGTTACTGTTGTCTAGACTTTTTGAGAGACGTTATAGCTATGCATAGTATTGCTTTCACTGTATAGTGTAATGTGGTCATGGAAGAACAGGATAACCATTAATGAAAGGAGAAAAAAAAAAATGAGAAAAGAAAAGAAAAATTCTAATCTTGAACTCAATAAAATTTAGGCATTATCTAGTATTCGTAGTTATGACAATTTTCATATTTCCTTTTACCTTTCCGATTCTTTTTCCTTTTTCTTATAGTTTTATATTTTGCTATCACAGCTCTGTCAGAAAGGGATTAAGGTGACCGTTGTTTGCCCTGGGCCAATAGAGACATCAAATGGTTCTGGAGCACCAGCCTCAGGAAAGATGAGTGTTTCTGAGGTGAGTTTCTAACAATTATTTAATCAAGCCTGTTTTTGATTGAGAACAATACTTTTTGTTGGTTCTCTTACTAGTTTTATTTGTTGTTGTGCAAGTGGTAAAAATTATCAGAACAGTTGAATTTAAAGTAAACTAATATTATAAACGACTGCAAAATTTTGTGCTAACTCTTCAGTGATTGGAGGATGGATATTGACAATTTTTCGGATAGACAAGACATTTTGGAACTAGTAAAGCTGAACTAGGTTTGCAAGCATTAACTGTGAAGAATGAGAAAAAATTGTAGCAGAATATCTCACTCTGACTGCATATGTCGGCATGCTGTAAATAGTGTTCGTTACCTCTGTGCTGCCTACTTTTCTTACTATTACGCTTTTAGAGGTGGAGAATATGGTATCTGTTGATTTCATGCTGTCAAGTCTTACTTTTTCTAATGAATAGTAAACTCTCTCACAGAAGCGTGTGTCAACGGAAAGGTGCGTAGAACTGACACTCATTGCTGCCACCCACAGTCTAAAAGAAGCTTGGATATCATACCAGGTACTTCCATTTATCTTAGAAATTCCTTCAATTTACCTTTTATAAAAACTTATTTAGGTGTAAGTCCACAATACTGGGATGAATTGGAGTAATGCCTAAATGATGACAACATGAAGATATTAGTTTATTGTAGGAAATAAAAAATCTAGCAATTTTTTCCTGAATGAATTCAAATTTATCAATAGCACCTATAGTTTCTCTTCAATTTAAAAATCCATGGATGTGCCTGGTACCATTTTCTAAAAACATAATTCCTTAGATGTAAACAATGAAAACGCTTCTGGTAGGAAGTTTGAAAATTTTAATACAGTGAGTACACACCTTTTGAGTATCATCTTCCAAAAACGCTAGCTGGGATTTAAGCTTTTGTTAACATTTTTCGTTTTTCTTTCAGCCTGTGCTAGCTGTAATGTATCTGGTGCAGTACATGCCTACCATCGGCTACTGGCTCATGGACAAGGTATCTTCTTTACTCTTAACACATCCCATGAATTATTTGCTTGCTTTATTCCTGAACACACGAACCATTTATTACAAGACTCGAGAAGGCACAATCAGTACCTCCTCTCCGCACTTTGAGCTGAACATCTGAATATATTGTTGTCTAATATATCAAAAATCCAACCCCGAATTAGAATATATACCATTGTTAGGTTGCACCTGAGATTATTGTGGAAATGATTTTGCAGGTTGGTGCCAAGCGAGTAGAAGCCGCCACACAGAAAGGCAACACTTACTCATTGAGCTTACTGTTTGGGAAGAAAAATAAGGCAGCCTGAGCACCTTTAAACTAAAACAACTGTCCTCTCTTACAACACGTTCCTGTACAATGCTCAAGGCTCTATGAGGAGAAGCCGAGAGCCCAAATAATCATATACTTAAGAATGTGTCGTGTATCTACACGTCTTGACCTTAATTTGTGAAGTTTTTCGAACATGGTTACTGTCATAGAATGCAAATGTATTTGTAGCTTCTGTTGTATTTTAATTATACTTCTGATACAAATGTTTGTGTTTGTATTCTTTTATGAATGCATCAAATAAATGAGATTTCTATTTGACTTTGTAGATTTCTTTGCACTGATCTTGACTGTCTAAATCTAAGTTTAATCAGTGTTAATATTAAACTTATTTGGCTATTATGATACTGTGGTTGATACCCGAAAGTTAATGTTTATACATCACAAATTTTACCATCTGTTACATTTCATGCTATTACTCTTTCAAGAAAGTACGGTAACGTGACAACAATTGAGATACAAAAAATTTTACGATCATTCAAGGATGAATTGAAATTTTATCATGGATACCCTTATGTGATATTAAATGGACCCTCAAGGTTTAAAATTTATCACGGACACCCCTTTGTGCTAATCCTATCACGTTATCATTAGATTTGCAAAACGCTTTTCTTAGAGGATCAAAGTTATCATTTTATTCTAATGCTTTTTTATAACACCAAAGTTACCATTTCACTCATTTACTATAAACGATAACATATAAGAGTTAGGGGGAAGGGGTATCCATGATACAATTTCAAACTTTAAGAGTAGCTTATAATGGAACGTGTAAAAATTGTCATCCAACTGATAATTTTGAAAACCTTAAGGTACTCTATGATATTTTATTGACATAAAAGCTCAATGAGAAAAGGCTCTGTTTTTTTAAAACACTTATTGGCTTAATTCACCAAACGGGCCAGCTGACTCCATAGACATTGCCGTATCCAATAACCATCTCCCAGTTTCTGTCTCTTTCTTATTCACTGATCTGCTCTGTAATAAAATTCAACCGTTTATTCCCTTGTTTCATTTCGTCAAACGCAGGAGAAGAACCCTGTTTTGAGCTTGGTGATCGGCTTCAGGGATTCGTTTCTGTCAATTTTCTTCATAACAAGTTAAAGGTTCTACTTTACACTTACGTTTTCACTCGGAATTTTATTGGGTATTTGTTATTTTTCGTTAGTTTTTTTTTTTTTTTTTTTTTTTTTTTTTTTTTTTAATAGCTTATCCTTAATCAAAAAAAAAATAGTATTCACAAAATAAACAATTTCATAGGGTTCTAATGTTTTGTCATTTTAAATCATTTTATTTATTGTCCAAACAGAATAACAAATGGTTTCATTGGGATTATGCCAAATTATGATATAGAAAAAATTAGATTAAAGGAGGGATTTTTTTTTTTTTACTGTTTTAATCAATTTATCCGAAGTATATGCATGGATGATTGTTTAAATTTTCTTTAAGCTGATTCAAGTTGGCTTTTTGCTATTTTATAGGTTGGTGCTTTGATTACCATTAAGAGTAAATGTATTTATGATTGGAAAATTTTTGGTATTTACTCCACTATACACTGCAAAAATATCCGTGTGTAAAGTGTGTGATCGACTGCTGTTTCGGTTTGTGTGGTAAAATTGTTTACATGTTTATGAGATGGCATCGAAATTGCGTGTATAGATTTGGTTGCCTATTATGTTATAGCCTTTTATATTGAAAAAAGTGAGATATGTTTGTGGGGATCACGTAGAAGTTCAAATATTCTGTTGTGGGTGGTTGAATTCTGCTATTTAGGATGTGCAATTTAAGTATTTTGTCCGGTAGCTGTTGAGTATTCATATCAGAGTCTTGCTTGTCTTGTTTGACTATTGTTCAGTAAGCTGATTTTTGCTTTGTGCAAAACAGAGAGTAAAGATAAGAGAGATATGGCAAATCAAGGTGCCAAGAAGCGCAAGGAAGAGAATGCTCGTCATATGGAAAAGCTCCGTCGCCTCATCATCGCTTGCAATGTAAGTGCTTATTGTCTCATTGTATCCTGTTCACTTGCAATGTAAGATAAGCATCCTATTTACAATTATTGTATCCTAGTCACTTTCTTTTATGCCTTAAAATAGTTTGATTTTAATATCTTAATTTGATAATAATCTCTTGATTTGCTTGTTATGCAAAACTAGATTACTGGTTATGAGGTCCCGTCTCAGGGATAGTTTTATGTTTTTATATTTTCAATATTGCCTTCTTGCTTCTTGTTAATGCTATGTGTAATCTTGAATGTTGGATCATTTATTGTAATCATGAACTTAATCTACTATGTTGATGTGTAAATTGTATTTATTTAGGTGATATATATTGTGGTGAGGATGCTGATATACCATTCTTCATTCACATGGAAACACTGGATGGGCTTAGTGTTGACAAGTGTGGCGTATGCACTTCCATATCAACAGCTTGCTTCAATGGCCAAACCTTCTTATGCTGAAGACGGGGATCTTCTTGATGGTGGATTTGATATGAGCACTGGTGGAATTTGTGGGTATGGTCTTTCTCATTTTCACTCTAGTTTGTTCCTTTCAATTTCAATTCGTGGTTTGTGATGCTTCTACGCGGCACATGGTTAATTCAAACCAACATATTTGCTTAATTATTTGTTAGTAAAGCTATTAAAAAGAGCCATGGTAATTGTTCTCTTTATCTTTGGAGCTTTAACCTTGCTATTATTTAAATTAATGTCATAGTACTCTTTGATGTTTGACAAAAATGACATTCCCTATGACCTTCTTATCCTCTTCTATATTTTTCTGTGATCAGTTTGAATAACCCTTCGTCTATTCCAGTATATTGTATCAATTTAAATAACCTTTCATTTCTACTGTAAGGAGCCAAATCTAATTTTACTTAAAAAACAACCTTAGGTTTGAGCCAAAAGAGAGGAATGTATGATGAACCCTTGGGTATTCCTCTTACAACGTGTTCTTTGCTTTAATTTTGATTAGATTACCAATTAGATGAATTCTTGTTGATTTACGTCTATGGAAGCATTCATTTGGCTGAAATGATATATAGTGCTTTTCTGATTATCTAAACTCGCTGCTTACCAATAAAGAAGTACATCATTATGTGGGGGTTATATTCTCAGGTGTAGACATCTACCATGATACGTATCTTTAGCTTGAGCTGTAAAACTGTAAAAGGGTGGGATATGGTACATCTTAGGTTTCGATGTTACCAAGTATTGAAAAGAAAAATGAATAGTGGAACACATTAAGTAATGCCAGTTCATTTACCAATGGAAACAGCCCTCACTAGGACACTTTGAAGAATTGTCAGCAGAATTACAAAATATCAAAATGAATCCTCCTGTGCTTCTTGCTATCAACTGACCTACTTTCCCTTGTAAGCAAAATCCTTGGCTTTCACTTATGAATATCATAGATATCAGTTATATTTGTCAAATTTATTATCGACTAACCCTCATTTCCTTTTGGAGCAAATTTGACTCTTTCTTACTAAATACCAGGAATTACTACCCCAGATTCTTGTATAAATGAATATACTTAGCAACTTCAATGAAATTAGGAACTTCCTGTCTTACGAGGCATATCTTTCATATCTGGTAGGCATACAAGATAGGCGTTCAATATTTATCAAAATAATAATTCCTTAAATAACTATTCTATTTCATGTCGACTCTTCTACGGACACTTGATGAATTGCTTTGAGAATTTGTAGATGTAGATGGCCGTTTCTTAGTTTTCATATATGATAAATATTTTCTCAAAGTTGGTTATCTCTTGCAGCTATTTGCATGACATAATCTATATTACAAGCTTTGTGCAAATCATGTCTATCCTCTCTGGCAAATTTTGGTACACATATCTAGTGGTAAGATCCTTCTACTTTATTGAATAATAGCGGTTGTGTATGTCCGAAATTTTATTCATTTAGGTAATGCTAAAGGAGAGGTATGTGATAGTGTTAAAATTTATTTTCGTTGTTTCCAGATACCCGCTTTTGGAGCATACCAATCCTTTGGTTTCATCAGAGGATTTTTGCCGCAAGGTTCAGAGGTACGGACTCTTCACTTTTTCACTTCATCAATTTTTTGAAGGCAGATGAAGTGTTTACACATCAATTCAATTTTGAATCTTATCTTGTTAACCAGGGAGACACGGAGGACGAGAAGACTCGCAAAAAGAGGGAAAAGATGGAGAGGAAGGCTTCTCGAGGCAAGTTTGTTAAGACTAGAACCAGATAGTCAGTCTAACAACTTAAACGAACTCTCTTGTCGACAGGCGTTGCTCTTAACCATTACACTGTTATTCATCAGAAGTGTTGAACAGCCTATTGCAAGATGTGGAAGCAAAAGACTGTCATGGATAAACTAGAACTTTGCTTTGCCAATTAAAAGAAAAACTGAGAAATTTTGATGTAATCTTTTGTTAGCAGTTTTTAGATCGTGTCAAAAGTTGATACTTCTTGTACACAATTTTCTGGCACCAACAGCAAGCGTTGCACTGTGACTTGTTGCGGATTATCACTGAACTAATACCATAATGTTTTTTGGAAAAAAAATAAAAATTGATTGATGAATTGTTTGATTTTATGCAAGTTGCTTCTACAGAGAAGTCAAGAAAGCCAAAGCTAAACATCAAAACTGGAGGAAGAGATTGCCCAGAAAGTGTATGAAATCCTCCTGGTGATAATAATAATACACCATGTGAGACTATAGGTCTCACCAAAACAAAGGAAAAATGATTTCTTTCAAATGACTATTCATCTATTGTACTCTTCGGAAAAATGGTGGTTCGATTCGATATTATCTGAAAAGGAATTCGAATACAAGTGTGGACTAAGTAAATCAATGGACAGCCTTGGTTCGGTTAAAATTACCAGTGGAAGCCATGATCCATTTTATACATGATAAGGATCAGTGGCGAAACTGGAAATTGCTTGGAAAGAGGTTAAAATGTAATATATAAATAGTTTGTTATGTAACATCGATCTACGTATGAAATTCTTGACGGGCAATGATCATTACCTAAAATTATTTCAATGATAACTATAACTTGATTAGAAGAGAGAGGAGAGAGAAGAGAGAGAAGAGATAGAAGTTTCATAGAATAAGGTTATTCATACATTTCCATGCAAAAATATGTTATACAAAAATTATAAGTGTGGAAGGATAAAGATTACAAGTTCAAATCAGGATATAAAAATAATCCATAATCCTGATTTTTCTGTTCTTATCCATACCAAAATGTAAGATATTTTGTTAGAAAAGTTTATTTATAATCGCCATGGTATCTGTAATAAACCTGTAATTCATTGTGTTGCTTTCATACAAGGGTGATTGGTTAGTATTGTTGCAGCCAACAATGGCCTGATTCGCCTTCTCGAGAACCTGGTAAGCCTTGTCATACTTCTTCTCATCGAAAGCCACAATACCTTCATTGAAAATCTGTTAGAGATAGACTTATAATAGCTCAGACAAACTTGAGAAACGACCAAGCTTCATAATCGGTTGAATTGAATACCAACTGCGACGCCAAACATAGTCTCATTCACTTTGGTCGCTGATAATTGATAGGCGATCTTGGAAAGGCCTGTGAGATCTGCACTGGAACTGCGAGGATCTGACCCTAAATTTGATATGCATTCTTGAGGAAACTGAGTGAGCTTACAAGTTTCGGCGATTAGTTTTTCATTTGCTAAGACATTACAAGTTTTGTTCGAGAAAAAGAAAAGCTAGAGGGTTGTGAGAGATGTATTTGATTGATCATCATTTTTGTTGAAAATGCAAGAATAGTTCAATTAATTATACAGAAGATTGCAAAAATTTCTCTGCCTTGTTCAATTCCCTTTTGTTGTAGGCCTGTGGACTGTGGGGTGGTCTCCCTGATTGATAGGAAAAAAATTGGAAAAGGAAGAGTTAATTACAAATTCATCCCTAAGTTATCATTGAATACAATTTACCTCTTTTGCTATCTGAAATAATATTTCCCACCTATTGTCTAGAGGTGATCGGGTCCATGTTCCTGCCCTTTTTCAAGAAACTGAAATCGGTCGGTTCCTGAATTTGGAATTGGAATCGGAACCAACCGGTTCCGATTCTTCAATAGCTGGATCAGAACCGGTCGTTTCAATTCCTCAATAGTTGGAACCGAACTTGAAAATCATTTTAATTCCTCGATAGTTGGAACCGAAACCTGATTTGAAAATCAAGTTTTGATTTCGGATACCAAGAAAACTACACGAATACCCCTACTATACACAAAATGACAAATATACTTTGTAAAATTATACACCCCCAATAGTTTCAAAAATATAAATCACCCCAAATACCTGTCGTTTCCACCTTTGGTACCCAGACCTCGGTTCCAGGTCCCGTTTTCGATTCCTAAAGTGGTGGAAATAATACACCCCCAACAGTTACAAGCTTAGAAAGTTAAAAATATCTAAATATTTTCAAAAAAATATTTTCCAAATACCAAAAACATTCTCAGAATCCTATCTTATTTTGCAAAAATCCTATTCAAATAGAATGCTATTCTAAAAAACTAATGCTATGATGGTGGCCAACTGTCGAATATGTGGATGGATAGAGTGTTTTTGTTAATTTATAAACTTTTATTGTTAGATATTTAGTTAAATTACAATCTAAGGGGTTAAAAAAAATCTAAATATTTTGAGTTGAATAAAAAATAGATTTTGAAAATATTGAAACAAATAGGTATTTTAAATAAGATTGGATAGAATAATATTTTGAATAGGAAACAAACACAGCCTAAATAAACGGAGTCTAAACTTCTTAACCCTAATGTTAATCATATAATTCAGTGCTTCAAGATTAGGAGGAAGAAGAATTTCAATGAATACCATTTAATTTTCTCCCCTTTCCTCTTATTTGTGTTAAATATATGTAAATCTATGAATTCTTAAATTTCGTCGAAGAAAAAAAAATCTTCAAAGAAAAAAAGAAAAAACATACGAGACGTCAATGACAACATAGAATCAAACATTCACTCATGCCATTGAATCTTTTAAGGCTACAAGAGATCTTGAGATCAAATCTCGCTCATACAGGTTGAGAATGGTCTGCTTAATTTATTGATTTAAAAATAAATACATACAAACACATTCAAATCTAATGTTCTCAATGAATTTCCATGCAAAATAAATTTAAAAAAAAAATAAAATAAAGATAGGTTGACAAATACTTCTCACAAACGTGCACGTGACAACTTGCAATTGATTAACTCGCATTCGGTCAGTAGACTTATTACAGCTGACCAATTGCCATTGTGAAAGAAAGTTATTAAAAATATTTGTCAGCGTAAAATTACTCTAAAAAAAATTGCAATAAAAATCCAGCATTTACAAGGATGAACACATTGGCATTTTTTCTGAACTCATAATCAAACCTCACTACATTTAAAATTATTTATAGTTTATCAGATTGTTCTGAGAATACTCCCAAAAAAAAAAAAAAAAAAAAAACATTCAATTCACATCTACATATCAACTCAAAAAAAAAAAACATTCTATCATATAAAACAACGCCGTGACTGACAAGCATACCGGAAACTGAGCATGTCCTCTAGTCTTTACTCGATTCATTTACTTGCCTACTTGATAACTCTAGGGTTCAATCACGAACAGAGGCTGCAAGAGAAAAATTCCACGATCATTATCATGTCAAAAGTTTTTTATACAAATCAACACATGTAAGTTGGGTAAGGAAACTCACTGTATCATGCTGACTGACTTTCCGTCTTCTGCCACACTCAACTATGGTTCCCGATTGATCAGCCTGAAGAAGAAAAGCATTTTAGATAATAGATATATAAACTACAAAAGGGCTATCTTTTCTAACTGTTTGAGAAGAAGACATAGAACAGCGGGAGAAACCAAAGAAAAAGATTAAAATTGAAACATTGTCACGTAGGAGAGCAGAGCGTTGGCTAGTAAATCTACAAGCATGATGAATATGTTAATGTTGCGTTAAGAGTACTTCCACCTTTCTCACTAATTTAGCTAGAGCGAAGTTGTTTACCCCAAATGAAATTCAGTGGATAATAACAAAGATAGACACCATGCCAATTTGAGTTGTGTACTATTCACAAATGAGAAAACATATCATGCGAGACTTAAAGAGTTCATCAGTTCAATTAGGTAAACACAATTCAATTTACTAAAAGCAGTATCCAATTTGGACCCTGGAACAGTCCATGAAAAGATCTACAATGAGGAGGCAACATAAAAATAATTGCAAATAACGCAAAGACCAATTACTAGTAAAGAGGCGTTCATCTTCAACATTTAGCTGGACCATGACATGGCTTGGCGGCTACGGTTAAATCCTCATAAAATTTTGCATGGAATAGAACATATAGGTTGGTCATTGAAAAAGAAGGATAAGGGTGAGCCGTGCATATTCCTAATCTAAACTGAGTCAACTTTATCATGTGTAAGGGAAGTAAAATTCAACACTAGCAAACCATATGTAAAGAAAATACAAACACCATGTGAAGGAAACAAAAATTCACTTTACTGAAAGTAACCAGCAGCGAGTCTTGTATAAAATTTAAATGTAGAAGTGACATGAACTTACTTCTATTTCATTCATCAACTTCATGGCCTCGATGATGCATAAGACCTGTCCCTTCTGTACTTTGTCTCCAACCTGTAGAGAAATTTCTCGTGAGCAAAAAGGAAACTTGTGCAGCAGTAAAGATGATATCCTATAGATAAAGAAATCATCATTAAGCGTGATAATTCACCTTTACAAATGGTGGTTCACCAGGTGCCGGACTCCGTAGAATGTACCTGCCATTGACATTTAAGAGATGGAGTGAAGACTTAGCCGATTTGGCAGCAGGAGCAGGTGATGAGGATGGAGCCGGAGATGAGCAGATGCAAGAAGGTGTAGGGGCAGGTGCAGGTGGGGCCGTTGGCATTACAGGTGGTGGAGTGGGTGCATGCATCATAACATGGGAGCAGGCTATGGAGGTTGCAGCAAGGCCTCTTTTTTTCCGGATAATTAGTTCACAGTCGAGCTGTTTCAATTGCAATTCCATTATATCTCTTGAATCAACAAGCCTGAAAATGTAGAAAGTAACAATTCTTTTCCAGATCATGATCAAAATACAAGGTTTACAAAGAAGCAAACATCGAGCTTCCTCACTTAACAACTTGAAACTGATTGATAAAACTCTGAAATCGATTCCTCTGTAGCCAAAGTTGCTGGAGAAGGCTCTTTTGATGGCTTAGCATCTTTTGCTTCTGCTCCTGGCACTTCTGATTCGTTGAAGATGTGACGGAACTTTTGATGATCCCGCAACAGCAACCTTGAAGGCAACGTGATCCCAAAGCGGTGTCCAGGAAGGAACAATTTTTGAAAACAGATCCTCTAATGAAAATGATTCAAAGAAACTTACCTCATTTCAATGGCCTTTGGCCACAGTTGATATATTTCGGAGTACCCTATACAGCAATTACAGTC